GCATTTTTGTTTATGCAAATTGACATAATACCTTTAAAAAATTATCTCCTCCGAAGGGGCAATGCCAATAAGCATATACCTTCTCATGTAGCACCTAGAGTAGTAGCTTTACAAACGATGTGCAGGAAAAGTTGTTTGGCTTTTGTATGACAGCTACATTTGCAGCTGCACAGAGGAACACAAGGGAACACTGAAACACTAGGACAGGGGTGTCAAACTCCAGTCCTCGAGGGCCGCTATCCTGCATGTTTTCGAGTTTTTCCAGCTCCAACACACCTGATTCAGTGATTGAATTAACTCTTCAAATTGGGCAGAAGCCTGTTAATCACCCAGCTATCAAAATCAGGTGTGTTGGAGCAAGAAAACCTCTAAAACATGCAGGATAGCGGCCCTCGAGGACAGGAGTTTGACACCCCTGGCTTAAACAATACAACTGTCACGTTTCATATCAAGAGTTTTACACAAAGGTCATCTTGAAAGATTATGAAACTTTTGCCAATGTGGCAAAATGTCAAGAGCTTCACTCTGTGCGATGGCATGTAAAATTGTGAGATCTCACATAATTTTTTACTACTCAAAGCACGAGGTTGTCATTACTCTCAGCTACTACTACACTAAACTGTAACTCAGAATCTGTAAAACGGACTGCTTTGTTTTCTAAAGTGGATAAGCTAAAAGTTTATCAGAGTTTGTCCAGAGCTTCTTGAGATATTTTGCTGACAGACAGGCAGACAAACACACAGACATGAGCAATTACATCATCGCCTATCACTATAAAATGCAGACAGTCATAAATAAGCTAAAATAAATGGTAGTTGGGTTTAAAGTTGTGCATTTCAAATCTTAAYGGGTTGTTTAATCTCAACTCTTTCAGGTCTTGTGTGAAGAATAAAACATGGCTTACTTTCTAAATCTGTGATAACTCTGTTTCTCAGGAAATGAAGGAACAGGGAGAGAAGAGGAAGAGGCCCAGAGCTGGAGACGGAGATGAGGACGACACAGAACAAGCAAGTGGAGTGAGGAAGAAGGTGAAAGGAGGACCAGGAGCACGAGGAGGAGGAGGAGGAGGAAGAGGAAGAGGTGGGAAGAAGGGTGGAGGAGCCTGGAGAGGAGGGCGCTGAAGCATCTGCCTGTAATAAAATGTACATAACCACAAGACACAATGCCTTGTCTTGTTTTTGATGTAAAACTCCAACATGTTTTCCACCATTCAGTTTAGAAACTAATTTAATTCCAGAACAAGAGCTTTCTTTACCAGTGTATGACTTTGTTCTATTTCTAATAAAACTTTATTATAAAACCTGAAGCTTTCTGATTCATATTATGAGTTTTGTTCAGTTTAAAATGCTTCAGTCTTCAGACAGAAAGAGGGAAAATGTCTGTTTATAACGAGGGAATGGCTTTAATTAAACAGGAAGGAAAAAGTGACACTTATTTTTGAAGAATTACTGTTAAGKGTGTCGGTACATAAGTATAAAATCACCCTTTTTTATTATTCACTCATGTTTTGATCACATTTTCTGATCTAATCCTGTTGCAGCTTTGGACAAGCAAAAAATACAAACATTTTTATTTTTTTGGCGACAAGTTTTGTTTATTCCTGTCCATCTCAAATATCACTCATAACCCACAAAACTTTTATATGTACGTCTACAACCAATTAACTTTATATCAGTTTAGTTCAAGATGTTTGTCACATCCATCTGACCTTAGAAAACAAATGCTACAACTCAGCCTGTTCTACAGAACCAGATTAAACTGAATGAGGTCGTAGCTGAGAGTCACAACACTAAACAGTTTGCAGTCACACATAAGTTGAGCTTTACAGTCTGAACATATTTTTGACTTGAAAGAATGGTAGGTCTTGAAATTTTGTGAGTTTATGTCTGCCTGTCTTAATAGGAGTGACAGACAGGTGTGAGGTCACCATGGTAGCAGCTGAAACATTTCTTTTGATCGTGTTTTCTTTTACACTTTCTATACAACATAAAAATAGGGTTCTTATTATTTTGATAAAAAAATGTTCTGAGACTTGTAATACATATGGATGAGGTTTTGGGCCACGGTGCAAATTTTTTTCACTGAATTCTGAAAACAAAAAAAAAGGCCTGAGACGTCAGAATCATAGAATTCTAAATTCTCAGAATTCTGACTTCAATCAAATAATTTTGAGTTTAAAGTCAACATTTTGAATGTAACATCAGCGTTCAGAAACAAGTCAGAATTGTGACTTTTGTCCCCCCAGAATTCTGAATAAAGTCAAAGAACAAAAATTGAAGTAACAATTATCTATTTAACAAAATGATGGTTAAAAAAATGTCAGAATTCTAAACCTTTATATCACAATTTTAAGATGAAAGTCAGARTTCAGGGAGAAAATATGTTTTGCACCATGACAGTAATCCTCCTCGTTAAAGACATGAGGGTATAATCAGTGTCAGTGCCAGTTCTGTGGGAGGCATTTTTAAACACAGGTCCTTCTCAAAAAATTAGCATATTGTGATAAAGTTAATTACTTTCTGTAATGTACTGATAAACATTAAACTTTCATATATTTTACATTCATTGCACACCAACTGAAGTAGTTCAAGTCTTTTATTGTTTTAATATTGACGATTTTGGCAAAAAAGTAAAGATAAACCAAAAATCCCTATCTCAAAAAATTAGCATATTTCATCCGACCAATAAAAGAAAAGTGTTTTTAATACAAAAAAAGAGTCAACCTTCAAATAATTAWGTTCAGTTATGCACTCGATACTTGGTGGGGAATCMTTTTGCAGAAATGACTGCTTCAATGCGGCGTGGCATGGAGGCAATCAGCCTGTGGCACTGCTGAGGTGTTATGGAGGCCCAGGATGAAAGTCGCACACAGTCGCCCTTTTTATGACAACAAACCTCTCTGGGTCTGGGCTCCTCAGCTTATGTTTGTTGGTCTGCAGAACTGGTCTTCAGGATGTTCCTGTATGTTTTTCTGCTGGACTGATGCAAACCCAGAGACCTCCRGAGTCGCAACAAATTTATTGTTAAGCGATGGCCCTCTTTTGCATGTGACTGACCTCTTTGTCCACCATGTGGAGGCAGTGCTTATCAGGCTGAGTTCACCTGAAACTCATCAGACTGAAGATGTCTCTTGGAGAGACGAAATGTTTCACTAAAGAAGAACCCATCCAGAGGACCTACTTATTTTTTCTTTTTGACATAGAACAGATGTTAGAGAAAATGCAAACAGAATTTGTGAAAATACAAAACTAGTTTAAACTCAACAAATTATTATTAAACTTGGACAAAAGTAATTATATGATATTTACAAAGAGACAACGAACTGTTAAWATTCCACTTAAAGTTGGTAGTTTAGAGATTATTAGAGTTACTAAAGTTTTTGGGTGTTATTATTGATGACAAACTGACATGGAAACCTCATATAAATTACTTAAGAATAAAAC